AAATGGAATGGCCTTTTTATTTATTATTTATCGTAAATGAGTGAAGCATTACACATAGTATGCCCTTCCCCCATCAGCTTTTAAATCCATACACTACTGTTTTATGAATGAGAAGAGCTAGTAACAAAGAAACGACAAGAATCAACAGAAAAAAATGCCAACCTCAATCTGACGGTGCTGCTCCTTGCATCCCCGACTTACAGCTTCATGTACAGACTCACTATTAGATCAAAGAAAAATATTGTTGCTAGTGAAAAATAATTCAAAAGGTGGTCATAACATATACCAACATCTTGTACTAAAAGAAAATCCCAACATAGCTACCTTGAATGAAGCTTTTGAAGAAGGGCAGAAAGATCACGTGGTTGTTGCTTGACAACTTGAAGTGGCCAATTTTCTGGTCCAAGAAATGGTTGAGAATTTAGTTCTCCCTGTCCAGGGCTTCTTTCAGTACCACCATCAGAACTTCTATACTGATCGATTCCACCAGATTGTGAGTGGGATAATTCCACATCGACTTGAACATCAAGCCATGACTTGGTCAAAGCCCAGCAAGCAGACTGCAATGACCAGGCTCTGAGTCTTAGTAATAACTTCAAACATCTCAACCAAATGGTGAAAATAATAATTAACTCAACGTAGCAAAAAGTGCAAATATATTCCTGCTCTAACTTATTAACTGGTTTATCCCCATGACTGTGACAAGTGATAAAGTACAGCCGCATTTATGTGAAGGATGACAAGCTTACAAGTTACAACCCATGCAAAAAGAAGTACGTGCTGAAGAAAACATTTAAATCCCAATAGTTGCCACTTGCAAAAGGCAAATATCTAGCAGAAAGTGAATTAAACAAAGCTTAAACCCATAAAAAACTTCTGGAATTCTAAAAGAAATATAAATAATATCTAACAAAACTATGTCAGGACTCAGGAATTCAGGATAACGCATGTTGTGGAAGAGCTCTTGGGACATGATGCTCATGTTCTTATAATTTATAGGCAAAGGCGTTTTTCATTCAAAAGAGCAAGTCCAAGACAATAATCAACTTCGGGCACAAGATAATCAAAATACATACGTAAAAGGGACAAAATATGCACTTAACTAAGGTAACTTCTTGCGCAGAAACGTCATTTTCGATAGATCAAAGCGGATAAAGTCACTTAACATAGTATAGGATTTGTAGTATTAAACTTAAACGTCATTCTCGATAGACCAAAGCGGATAAAGTCACTGCACCACCAGGAAATGGTGACAAACAATACAAAAAAACAATACTGAGGCTTAGGAAATGGCAAAACAATACCTCCCAGTCGGTACAGATAGGTAGAATGCGGTTCACATTACTGCAATTGGCTGCATATACTGCTGTTTCATACTTCCCACTCTCTTGCTCTGCAATTTTCTTTAACACACAAAGATAGACACAAGAGCAGAAGGGAAGGGGGAAGCAGAAAACATCCATTAGTTTCCGTAAGAACATATAATGCACATGTTTTAATCACTGAGTGTGGAAAAAGCAGCATGGAAGCCTACAAGTATTTAAAATGTTAGATCTCTTGAGACCTTATACATGCTCCTTTTTAAGTTTTTAAACAGTTCAACACGTTAAGCTGGGTAAAGTCTCTTGATGGAAGTTGAAAACAAAGCTGTTTCTTAAATAAACCTGAGATATAAATTAACAAATACATAGCATGAAATACTGAAAAACGACTAAACTAGCATCAACGATGCCTAGAGCATACAGCAGTAATTTATTGCATTTTTTGGATAATAAAATACGTAATTAGTTAAACTCTCTTCTCCTACCTCTGATGCACAGTATGAAGCCCATTTCCAGAGGCGTCGCTGATGATTGATGCCACTTTCCAATTCCATGGCTTGCAGAGATCTGTTTTTCCCATTTCTTATGAGGGCTTCGATGGAAGGAGAATGATCCAACCCTCCAAAAGGGCGCAAGGTTGCTGCCCTCCATGACTGTCCATACAACAGGAACCATCAAGACAACAACAAAGGCATTGCAACCTTAGCCAAAAATTGAGATACATACCTGTCCTGCAGACCGACAAAGATTGCAAGCCTCTTCCAATCTTCCGGCCCTTAATAAGATCCAGACATCTTCCAAAAGAGATTCAGCTTGTTTCTGTTTAAATATAAAAGTAAAATTTGATACAATTCACAAACAGATGTAAGCAACATGCACATCAGTAATGACAAAAATCAAACAGCTGTTTGACCACCTGCCTTGACTAGCATCACTCAGCATTATAGCATAAAACTTTAAAGTACAAAAAGATTTTCATGAAGTTAAAAGTAAGAGCCACGGAAATAACGTTTTATCACAATATAACAATTACTTAATGAGCTACAGCAGATGGCAACTGTTTCAGAAAATAATACTTTGTCATCAGGTAGCGGTTGAGCATGTTCACGCGTTGGAGCATCAAAATCCAAGCACTGAACAATCTTCTCATTTGAGGAGCCTTTCTGTAGAAACCTTTGTGTATGATTCCAAACCCCTGAGGTAGGGAGATATGTGCCAACATGAGAGCCTCGCACCTGCAAAGCGTTATGCAAAAGATTTAAAACAACCAAACCTGGATATATTTTAGTGATAATTGTATGAAGCAACTTTGAACGTTGTGAAAGAAGGGTGATCTGTGCCATAAAAAGGGTTATCATGATGCACCAAGGCTCCTCAGTTTTCGGAATATTAGAATGAGAAATCTTTGCATGCAGACTAGAGAAGCCAATCTGCTATCACATAAGTAAACAACAGAGGTTTGTGGCATAACACAATCCCACAATAAAAAGCCACAAAATAAATATACCTTACCAGCACCGGTGGTGTGCATATCAATGAACCCCTAAATCTATGCTTGATATGTGATAGCATATTATAAGACTCCTTATAAACTATACGACAAGAATTACCTATCTTCTAAAAATTGTTTGCAAATGTAGCCCTTGGCGACAGTAAAACCAAGAAGAAAATTGCAACCCCTCACCTTGTTCTCCAAATCAAGGGCCTTTGAGGCTAATCCTTCAAGCCACTGGGTAAGTCTAAGGCATAACTGAGCTATATGATCTGCAGCAACAAACTGGCAAGCCTCCAGATGTGAAGTTGTTGGCAACTGAAGTAAAGCATCAAAGCAAAGGAGATAAAACATGAGCTTCAAGAAAAATTAATCAAATAAAAACTTTGGCATTTGTAAAATGAGTAGACAAGTGACTACACACTAAACCTTCATACCATGATTGAATCTTCAGGAAGCTCTTCATTACCTGAACAAAATTGGAAAAGTAAAAAGAAATTATAAACTCGATTTGATCCCCAAAAAGAATAAAACCAATAAACTGATATTGCCTGATCAGCATAGAAAGAAGATATGAGCATTTGGTTTAAACATAAGAATAATAGAAGCAATGTTCTAAAAAGCGTTAAATCAGCTAAGCAGTTACGTGACCTTCTAGACTTGATCAACTTAAGTAGAGATTAAACCAATGGCTAAGCCGAACAATAAGCACCAAGTACCAGATTACTTTGATCCAAATTTTGTATCCAAATGTCTAATTTCATTGCTTCTATGATGCAATTACCTAGAAAAATAAGAAAGATCCCTCCAAACTTAGACGAGTTGATTGATTAGCACAAGAAAAGTCTATTAATCGCTTGGTGTTATGAAAAGCTTAATTCGACAATTAGTTGCTAACTGAAGCAGTGAGGGCGGGTAACTCTAGGTGGCCAGTTAACTGTTCTAACTAATCAATGCGGTTGGGGACTCTTAACGTCTAGGTGACAGCTTAAGTGGCCGTGGACAGATATCTTAGAACACTCAAAGAGTCGGTGATATATTAGGACACAAAACATGTCAGCTATGTGCCTGGGCAGACTGTTGTCAAAGTAACAACTATTGCCCTCCAAATATAGATAGGATACTCAGAAAGAACTCAGCCCACATCCAAATGCATAAAGAGGTAAAATGTTATGAATCATGCCTTTCCCATATAGATACCACAAAAGAGACCAAGACGCAGCCTCATCAAGTAGCATCTTAGCCTTTTGCCTCATCAGTTTCTCCTCAACAATTCTGTGTCTCTCACTACAACTGTTACTGTAAAAGTACAAAAAATATACATAGTCAGCATGCTGGCTAAGAATATTTGTATCAATTTAGCAAGCAACAAAGTATATACTATTATATTTAGCATGGGTTTCTTCAGCAGAATGATAGCAAGAATCTAATTTCAACTCCACCTCTGTAAAATCTTTTGACTTTCAGAGACTTCTCCTGCTCATGAAGGGTAGAACAATTTTCATTTTAAAAGTACAGTAAAAATTGCAATGTTTTCTTTTTGGTATAAAACTACTTATCTGCACATTGTCATCAATAAATATTGTTGATTATGATGGTTTTGGTCGACAAGTTATCCCCTATTTTGTCTTTGTTGATGGAGATGACTGGCATTTTTCCTTTTCATTTTATCATAACAAGTAATAAAAATATAGGAATTCCACTATCAACTGTTTTGGGGTATGACACATACTTAATGAACTCTGAAACATTGCGGCACGCTCCTTCAAGTCTTAATATCAAATCAGGGATCGACATCAATCCTGCAATAGATACATTAAACAATGAAGTACACAACCCGTTGAACCAACTACCAGTTATAGCATAATTTAATGTTTATATGGTTCAAGACAAATGTGCCTAAATATAAAAGTTGGAGTCATGCATTGGTTGTCAGCGTCTTATTGTTGGTTACACTATCCACTCCTTATAATGTTGAAACCATTTGGTTTTTAAAACAACTTGTCTATGACTGAAAAACCACTATACTCGCTGGGGATAAATATCTTGCATGAATTATTTTCAACAGATAAAATAATGTGAAGTTATCAGATTATATACCAAATAATCAAAATAATTGAAGTACAAACTAGAAAATTCAAGTAATCAAAAATGCTTAAATGAATGCCAGAAACCCAAGCACTTCATGCAGCAGTTTGCATTCATGCTAAATCAGGAGCCTAAAAAATCTAAACTAAAAGAAGTTGCTTCATTTCAACAGATTTTATTAAATTATTAAAATTTTCAATTTCGTGTTGCTTGTTTCTGTATATTAGACAGAGAGCAAGAGATAGATTGCACCAAATACCTTGAAGAGCTGAATCAAAAAGAGAGGCAAATAAAGAAAATGTTGCATCTCCACCATCCGATGATGCATCTTCCTCGTGCTTGCAAACTTTTAACGAATGAGTTCTTGGTCGGCCAACTGAATCATTAGCAACACCCATCTCAGATATTCCACGACCATCTATTGACGGTGATCGCCTTTTGAAAGACGAGTGAGTTCTTGCGTGCGTCCCTTCTGAATGATCACCATCAGAGTGGTCGACTTCTTTTTTGATATTTTCAAGAAATAGAGCAGCATTACTGAACTTAGATTGATAACTTTCTTGATGCGGTGAAGGCGAAAGCCGTTTCCTGAACACATACAACAAGGACTTAGAGCGGTACACAAAAATAACCCAAGATTGACAAAATTCTCAATAAGAAGTGAGGCGATGAAGAGTTTCAAAGTTTGATTTGACAACCTAAAACATCGTAAATTACTGAATATACATTTGGAAAAGAGTTTCAATGTTAGGATTCATACCCGTACCGCCGGTAACGCTCTCTGAGACTCAATTCTTGAGAATCAAAATAACTAGGAGAAGTATCCATGTCGACATTCATTGTATCCGTTACAATTTTCTCAACTGAAAACAACTCATGGACTGTCTCCTTGATGAGGGTTTTGGTGAGAATGCTTTAAACCCTAGAAATGATTATTTGAGCGCGGAAAGAGGGATAGGATATATTTTACGGTAATTCCAAAAATAGTCCCTAGTCTATTACTGAAATACACTAATGGTCCGTCAACAATATATTACAAAATACATCCTGAAAAATCAAAACGGACCTTGACGTAAACGGCCTGATTTCCTGAAATCCATTAGACATTTTTTTACATTTAAATCTTCACAATGTTTTTGTTACGAAGGTTTATAGCATTTTGTTGTGATGTTTTAAATGTAAAAAATGATACCATGAGTCTTATAAAAATAAAGACTGATCTTATGTGAACCCAACTCAACATATTATACATATTAAAAAAAAACATTTAATTAAATTTATATATTAAATTAAACATGTATTTTAAATGCAATATAAAAATAAAGCAATACATAAAATTAAAAAAAGAAGTGAGGCAGTAAAAGGAAAAACAAAGCCCACATTGCATATGGGATAAACACAATATCACCGTATTAGATTTCCCAGATCATCAGAGTGTTGTACTAGTCGAGTCGCAAGTATTCTATCCACAATGGCGGTGGTCGCCGGTTGCTCCACCTGTGTTCCTTTCCGTCCAACTTCCATAACCTCCGGTCAGAAATCTTTCCGATGACACGCTGCTAATCGTTTTATCTGCTTACATTTTTACATGATGTTTTATCAGCAAAAGCAACTTTGTACTTCCTATTTTCGCTGCATAATTTCTCCCATCCATGATGATTTTTGTATTATATTGTTGCATATATTAATGGCTTGCTCTCTCTTGAATCAACATTTGGTGATACACATATCAATTTTGCATTCGTAGAGCACCAATTGTGATAACAAGAGTCAAATTGCAGCCCTTTTTGGTGAAAGGAAGGAGTAGAAGCACGGGAAATTTACAGAAATAGCCAATCTGGCAAAGTGATTTCACTTGATCCACTTTCACTTTATAGTTGATATGTATTGGTTTTCGGCAAAAGAAAAAGGAAAACGAAGGATCCTTACGCAAAAAGAGTAAGACCACTTTCTGCCTAAGCATCCTCTTTTTTTTGCCGAAAACCAATCCTTGCGCATATGCTTAAGCTTTCTGAATCCTTGCACATATGCTTAAGCTTTCTGAATCCTTGCACATATGCTTAAGCTTTCTGCGTAAGGATTGGCTACAAAGTGAATGTGGGACATGATATAGCTATAAAGTGAACTGATTTTGGGTAGATTGGCTATTTTGTCAATTTCCCAAATTTTCTTCCAATGAAACAATTTGATGGATCACATTGAGTCTGTTTTTGGTTGGGTTTGAACCGAACTGCAATACGAACAAGAAATGTTGTCAATTGCGTTAAAGTTTGCTCTTGGATTCGTGCATCAAAGTTGTACGCCATATTTCAATCTCCATGGCAATGTGTGTAGTTGTTAATGCATTTTCTCTTCGAGTATAAGTAGAGTTTAATCACTTTTTGTTCCTTGTTTGTTTTGAAGGAAAGCTAGTTTCTCTTGTAATGAATGTCCAAAACTTTGCATTCCTTAGAGATGAATGTTCTAGAACTTTGAGAACCCATAGAGATTTACTTGGCATCAATGCTGTGCATAAGAAGGTAGATCATTGTGAGGGATCAAGAGCTGCTGAAATTGGTCAAGGGTTTTATGAAACTATAAACGAACCCTTCGTTTCGCATCAGGTATGATGGTGAGTCATCACATGTTATTGTTGTGTTCTTGTAGTAATCTGGGCATAGTCTCTTTTCTTGGGTCTTTTTCAATTTAGAAGCTTTATCCCATGTACTAAGGGGATGTTTGGTTGGTTTTCCATCAATTCCTGAATGGATAAAGTTGTATATGTAGATTAATCCGACTTTATAGATCAGGAAGGTTTTTGTTTCTGAGGGTTTTCTCATGGATGGAATGAGCATGTTTTTTAATTGGGAGAAGCAGGTTTGGAAAAAACATGGTTTTTTGCATAAAGCTCTCTCCTAGAAGCTTACTGAATAAGCCACTTTCTATACCATTAAGCCACTACCAAATAATCATGTATAGCTGATCGAGTAAGCTGTGAATCCCATTAAGCTCATTAAACTGTTGTGTGCAAATACAAGATATGGACTTAAATTTATTAGTTGTTTTCTTTTTAAAATCCATATAAACCTGTAATTACGGAAGTACAACCCATAATACGAAGCTAAAACTTGGAAGTGTAGATTGCCAAATAATCAGCAAATTATTGAGCATAAGTGGGATTCACCAGCTTTGGGGAAGAAACTAGGAGATAACGATTGATTTGCACGGTTGTGCAAGAAGGGCTTCTGGAGGATCGGCATGGCTGTGCCAAAAGTGTTTTTAAGTCATGCACGGTCACGCAAGAGGAACAAGGTCAATTTGGGGTTTCAGTTTCAGGACAACTCAATAGTGTTTGATATGATAGGAGATCAAAGTGAACACATATATCCAGCTGAATGTAATATTCCAATGAACAACATTCACATAAACAAATACATCAATATATTGATTGTGAATGTGTAGAATGAGAGCGTGATAGAGGAAAGACTTGTATATTTGATTAAAGAATCATATTAACTACAAAAAGGGTAAAACCTAAAGTATTCATACCTACAACTAGAATATGAAAAAGACAGACGAGCGTGTAGGCTATACATAGAGACACATAATAATTAACAGATATTATATCTTTATCTGTTCTTGGATTAATGGGTTGATGAGGACGCTCAAACCACAACGATTCCGATTGGAAATCGTTTGTGATCTTTTATTGGTTTTATGACTTTTATCGGTTTTATGTTTATCATTTGGCAGACAGACAGGCTTGTAGGATCCTTGCCGGCAGGAGTCTTAGTCGCTAATGCGTTGTTATTAACTGCACCATTAGAAGCCTTGGCGGAAACCTGTGAGGGGCAACAATCCATATTTAACATGAACATGCCCCTGTTGCTACTTGTTGCCCTCATTGGTGCCACTGTTGGAGGTAAGATTCACCATGCACTCGGATCTTTTTTTGGATGGGTATCCTAGGCTATCCTAGACTAATCCCAGCAAATTGTGAGTGCAAGAAATCAACCCTGATAAACTCAGTGGCCATAATTGTTGTGTACACCTGGAAGATGGAATATTCCACCACATCCCCCAGGGTCTCAATCACTACACCGCAACCCTTGTGGTTTGCACTCAAATCTTCGCACATGGACATGCATTAGGTGCAATGGAACTTTTGTGATGAGGGTCAGAATTTAAATTTATAAATTTTTGGGGGTCAAAAGAGGAAATATATATATATATATATATATATATATATATATATATATATAAATGAAATTTATAATAGAAAAGAAAATTGTAAATTTATTGGCTGTACATCTACTTTCCGCATTTGCAGGACTACTTGCTAGGCAAAGAAAAGCAGAACTACAACGGCTAAACGAACAGCTTCGCCAGATCAATGCAGCTCTAAAAAGGCAAGCAAAGATAGAGTCGTATGCACCCGCTTTAAGTTACGCTCCTGCTGCCGCTAGAGTACCTGAGAATGAAGTGATTGTTGATCCAAGGAAGCAAGAGCTGACATCCCATCTGAAAAATGGCAAGAATTTCCTCAGAAATCATAATCCAGATAAGGCATTTCTTGAATTCAAGACTGCACTTGAGCTTGCTCAGAACATTAAAGATCCAATTGAGGAAAAGAAGGCTGCAAGAGGATTAGGTTTGCCATATTTCATGTTTCCTTTGATTGTCAATGTGTTTTGTTAGAGTCACATATCAGCTAAACTTGGATCATTTCTTCTCAGTATATTTTGGAACCTCCCTTCTCTCTTCAAGAGCTCTTTTGGAGAGTAATTAAATGGGTTTCACATATTCTCACACTGTATCAGAACCAAGATCTACCACTTTAGGGATTCGACACTCTGGGACGATCTGTGCCAGTCTGGTCTCAGTTGAAGGGGGCGTGTTAGAGCCACAATGGCTAAACTTGGATCATTTCTCCTCAATGTATATTGGAACCTCCCTTCTCTCCTCAAGAGCTCTTTTGGAGAGTAATCAAATGGGATTTCACATATTCTCACTTGGTATCAAAACCAAGGGGTTTACCACTTTACGGACTCGAGTCCTCGACACTGTAAGACAATTTGTGTCTGTCTAGCCTTCATTGGAGGGGTTTTGTTAGAGTCCCACATCAGCTAAACTTAGATCATTTCTCCTAAATATATGTTGGAACCCCCCTTCTCCTCTCAAGAGCTCAACTCTTTTGGAGAGTAATCAAATGGGGATCCCATATTTTCACATGGTATCAGAGCCAGGTCTACCACTTTAAGGACTCGACACTCTAGAACAATTTGTGCCCGTCTAGCCTCCATTGAAGGGGGTGTTTTAGAGTCTCATATTAGCTAAACTTGGATCATTTCTCCTCAATATATGTCGGAACCCCTCCTCTCTTTTCAAATGGCTTTTTTGGAAAGTAATCTAATAGGATTATAAAATTTAACATGTTTAACGAACCATAATGGAACTTCTATTTTGTATCTTTCAGGAGCATCGTTGCAAAGGCAAGGCAAGCATCGAGAAGCCATTAAATACCATATGATGGTTTTGTCGGTCTCGGAAAGAGAAGGAGAAGACTCCGGAAACACAGAGGCATTCGGAGCCATTGCTGATTGTTACACCGAGATTGGTGATCTAGAACGAGCAGCTACTTTCTACGACCAATATATTGCTAGATTACAAGCAGATTGATTTATTTCTTTACAACATCAGGAACATAATTTTTGTAGCAGAGGCCTGTAATGGTTTGTGGTTGTGTATCACTCTTTTGGTTTCTTGTAAAAGCTTCATGTGTGATTTTTGAAGATCTGTACGGATCTTGCTAGTTATCTATCTTCTACATAAATAGACGTTACTCTTTTGGTTTCTTGTAAAAGGGTTATGTGTGATTTTTGAAGATCTGTATGGATCTTGCTGGTTATCTATCTTCTACATAAATAGACGTTTCTAATTGCTAAACGAATTTAACACGAACGGAGGCCAGACAGACACAAATTATCTTAAAATGTCTGAGTAGGGGCTAGATGGGAATAGATTGCCCATAGCATTGAGTCGAGGCTAGATGGATACAGATTACCCAGTGCAAGGCTAGACAGGTGTAGATTGTCCCAGAGTGTTGATTGGGGATAGACGGGTACAGATTGTCTGTAATGTCGAGTCCCTATAGTGGTAGACATTGGCTCTTATACTATGTGAAATATATATATGCAACCCCTAAATTTACTCTCCAAAAGGATCCTTAGGGAGAAGAGGTTCCAATATGTACAAAGGAGAAATGGTCCTGATTCAAGTTTAGCTGATATAAAACTCAAACAATCTAAAAAATTAAGCTTCATAAGCTCGTTAATGTGCTCGAATTCGAGATAAGCAACTCAGACTCGTGGCATTTTTTGTTATCAACTTAGCAAGACCCACAACTTATTCAGTCAACTATACATGATTGTTTAATAGTGACTTAATGATATAAAAAGAGGCTTATTCGGTAAGCTTTTATAGGGAGCTTTATGTACAAAGCCAAAATTTTCCAAGCATGCTCCTTCCATCTATGAAAAAACCCTCATAAACAAAAACTTTCTCAATCCATACAAAAAGATTAATCCACAGTCACATATATCCATACAAGACTAAATGAAAAGCCAACAAAAAAATAACCCCTCAAACTCGAATAGGACAAGAACAACTACATGAATTTTTTATATTTTAATCGTACAATTTATAAACACGTTTGTCTAAAGAACCATATGTACGTATGGCTCTGACCCAAATCGGAAATTTTAATCAAGGTTTTCAGATAAACCAATATAAACATTGGCGTTACAAAAACCGAGTCTTTTTATACTACCTTTATTTAGACCAAGTCAATCTTGAGAATTCCAACGCTCAAGCTCGAGATAAACAAGTTCGAGCTTAATTATCTCGTTAAAAGCTTGAATCGTTAACACCCCTAATGATACCAAGCTCAACCATGACGATCATATTCAGTAGAAACAAACACACATCCCATCCCCAGTTGACATATAATAACATACACCACATGTATTTATCCATACTCTTAGCAATATATAGAACTAGCACGACAACAGTCTCCCAATCGGGAGGCAAAGGCAAAGCCAATAACAAACGTTTAAAAAAGAAGAAAAACGAGAACCAAGAGGAGACTAACTGCCTCCTACAACTTGAACAAATACCCACAAAGGCAGGAAGAGAACGAAAAGCCCAAACAGTGAAAAATAACGGTTAAACGCCACATAATCTCACTACTGATAGTACATGAGTTGTTGGGCAGCGGCAACACTCTGGAAACCACCGTCATATATCGCCTGACTTGCTCCGCCCCCGACCATATCCATGGTTGCTTGTTTCATAGGATGCTGCCCCATAACTTGAGGATGCATCAGACCCATCTTGCTCATTGCTAGTTGACGTTCGTATGCCAATAATTCACCAGCCGACAGCATTGGTGCAGGAACCGGAGGGGGAAGTGGGTTCGAGCTTGTTCCTGGAGGAGTGGGCTTACTGCCCCATGAGCACTAAGATTGCATATGAAAAAATAAAACACATCAGCTCCACAACCACATTATTCAGATACAGCGGGCCCTTATGTTTGCGGGATTGGACTAGATTTGGAAGAATTGAATTTCATTCCAATCCCATGTTTGGTTTAACGGAATTCTTAGATGAACATAGGATTTTGACATCCCACATGATTTTTATGTAATAATGTTTTAAAATATGTCAAACGTTTGTTTTGAAATAATCAATTAATAAAAAGATAATTTAATTATTTATTGTTTATTTTTTATAAATAACGAAATTCAATTCCATTGCAAATTCTACAAATCAAATATACCATAGAATCCAAGTTCAAATCCCTCCAATATGAAATTCAAATCCCTCAAAACCATTTCATCAAACCAAATGCCCACTTGGACAGGACTTGACGAAACTGGACTGGACAAGGGAGAATGAAGGTTTTATGGCCCAATTGGTTTGTGGGATTTCATGGAATATCCAATCCCGCGTTTGGTTTAAGAGAGTCCAGAATTGATATTCCGAGATTTTAATGAAATCCCACAAACATGGATTTAGAAATCCCATGGGGGTAGTTGGTATGGCAGGATTTCATAGAACTTGTTTGTATAATGTTTAAAATATGTTAAGAACACTTGTTTTGTAATAATCAATTAATAACAAGTAACTTAATTTTTTATAATTTGTTTCTATAAATTATTTATAAATAATCAAACTCAATTACATTCCAAATTCTACACACCAAAGATTCCAAATCCTCCTAATTCCAATTCCTTCCATGAAATCCAAATACCTCAAACCAATCACCCCCATGGGATTTCAAAATCCTATGTTTGTGGGATTTCAATGAAATCTCAGGATTTGAAATCCAGGAAATCCTTCAAACCAAACATGAGATTGGAATGATATTCAATTCCAAATCGCACCAAATGCATTCCAATCCTACAAACCAAACCAGACCTTGGGGTTTTAACTGACATGATAGTTTAGTAATTTATCAATCTTGTTTCATCTCCTTGGCTTTTGTTCCACTTATTTTGGAGGGACAGAAAAAAAAAACATTTTGTTCCCACTCGGGTCCTGCCTGTCCCAGTCTAGTGTGACAACAAATATGGGGCTAACAATTTTTTGTGCTGTCCTGTCCCGCATACCGAACGCACCCTAAATTAATTGACAGAGAATGTGATCACAATTGGCAAGGAAAAAGCATGCACCTTAATTTGTTTGCCGTAAAGAATAGACTGGGTGTTTCCCATTTGAATAGCAAGCGCAGCCTCAGCATGGTTATTGTATCTAACAAAACCAAAACCTTTATCACGCTGCACCCGAACTTCCTCAATCACCCCTGCACCAAGGGAATGAAAGTGACGATGAAGCTCAAGCTGTGTAACCTGCAATTGGACAACAATAATTTCATTCAACCTTATAATTTGTAGCTATAGGATACCAAATCTACAAACAGTAAGACAAGCAACCACTTCGAACGAAAAAATATATTTTGAAGAAGCGTAGATACTACAAATGAACTACAATGAATTCAGAACCATACAAGACTCTAGCCTCAGGGGGTGCTTTGGTATCCAGACAAGATAGAACAGGACAGAACAGTTGTTCAGTCTTTGGTAAGACAAAACTGGACAGATAAAATAAAATAATCAATTTACCCCTAATGAGTTGTTTATATATTTTGATTAATTTATGTAATTTATTAAATTATAATAAAATAAACATTTTTACAATAAAATATATCATTAGAAAGTTTTCGTCAAGACGATTAAAATGACACCAAAATAAAAGGTTTATGTAGTTTCCAATTTTTATTTTATACCTTTTCTATATTATTTTATTATTATTTATATTTAATAAACTACATAAATTAATCAAAATATACAAAGCGTATATAAATAATATTTTGATGACAGTTAAGTGAGTTTAAAGAGCATAGAATACAATAAATAAAATTTAAAAAATGAATAAAATGTAAATGAGGCGTATTTGATGTTTTAGAATAGAATTAGGTTTTATTACGAAGTTATATTGGTAAAATATAGGTTTGTTCCACCTTGTTCCTTGAGTGGGGGTGGAACACGCCTGTTCCACTTTGTTTCACTTTGTTCCTTTCTGTTCCACATAAAAGAAAAGTCATGCCAAACGTCGAAGAATGATCCCTGTTCTGTCCTGTGTACCAAATGCACCCTCGATGATTGATCCCAAATGAAACCCTTTCAATGATAGACATATAATTGGAGGATTAAGATTTCTTACCTCTGGTGCAAGGTTGCCAACATAAACAGTTGTATACTGTGGATTATTCTCCGGGGCATCGCTATTAGTGGGCTCTTTACCATCCTCTGTAAACGCAACACTCAGAACAAATGAACGACTTCCACAAAGCGGCATCAGCAAAAGCTAAGCAGTTAACTTAAAACGATATGGAACTTCAAAAACTAACAAACGCCAGAGCTCAGCTCACGAAGCTATCATGATTGCTTTTGATTGTTATTATTACGCCTATTATTCTACTATTGCATACCTGATGACCCATTTGTTAGCTCTACCACGCTTTTTGAATCTGAAGCTTGTTTTTCATCGCTAATTCCAGCACCTTTTGTAGCCCAATTGCAGCGTATCTGCCTACTTCCAAGCCACTTCCCTGATCATGAAAAATGATGATGGATGTAAATGTTCGAAAGCACATGAAATCAGAAGTTGCAATCAAGGGGGTACTACAATAGTCCCATATGGAACTTCAGAGCCTGTTTGTTAGCAGCTTAATGAGCTTAATGGGACTCATGGCTCATTAGGTCAGCTATATATGAATGTTTGGTAGTGGCTTAATGATAAAAAAAAAGTGACTTATTCAGTAAGCTTTTAGGGGGGAGCTTATGAAGAAAGCCATGTTTTTTCTTCCAAAACTGTCCCTCCCAATTAAAGAACATGTTCCTTCCATCTATGAAAAAACCCTCCCAAACAAAAACCTTTTCAATCTACAGGCAGATTAATTCACAAGACAGCTTTATCCATACAGGACTTGATGGTAAACGGACCAAACAGCCCCTAACTATAGTCAATTAGTCTCTGAACATGTGAATGTCAACCATATAAGAAGCACAAACGTGTCACGCCATACTAACCAGTTAAGTCATTTATAGCACTTTGAGCATCCTGAAAAAGAAATAAGATCAGATTTTCTCTCAAATAAAATTTTGTATGAAGAGATGAATGACAATAAAGCCTTCCAGTATTTTCCTCGTAACACAAGTGGGGAGAGTCATCCAAAAGGGCAGGTGGTGCAGTAAAATTAACTTTTTGCCAAACTTTTGGTGATGCCAAGTCATATTCTCTGTAAATATCTCTCTCCACTTGTATTCCAAATTATACAGAATGGAAGCCATGGCCATGCACATCATTGTTTCCCATGGTTCTAGAAAGAAAATGTAACCTGTTGATTCCGAAAAGAAACAAACCCAAAACCTCGTGAACCTCCAGTTTTCTGATCCCACATAACCCTTGCATCCCTATAATGGAGCAGCACACATGAAATAAGAGTACACATAACATGTGTAAGAGAGAGACAAAAACATGTACTCACGAACAGCTGGCATAGACAGAGAAGCATGCATATAACATAGCATCAGTAACCTCAGGGCTAAGATCACCGACAAATATGTTGTAGTGACCTGCAAAGCAAAAAAAGTAAGTTATGAGGTCAAATTGCCACAAACAAAACCATAGCAGCATATTACCACCCTGTTTCATATAATGTTTTTTCCAGAACAGACAATAAGGCCTACCTGATGTGTCCTCCCTCTGTCCACTGGCATATGCCCAATTAACTTTGATAGGCTGTCCAAACCTGCAAATAAATCAATAAGAGGAATATCTTGAAGTAAATTCCCAGTGTAGCATATACCCCTATGAACAGCACTTACAAATGCCTTCCATTTAGAGACAATATAGCAAGTGCAGCAGATCTCCGATCAAAGTAGTGAATGAATCCATATGATGACTGCAGACATTGAAACAAGAATAATCCTTATACAAGGTGACTATGCAAAGAAACGTGGAGACATGATGGCTGACATCCATTTTATATGAATCCTACGTATACTTGCTCAAAACATAGCCAAAGAGCCACCTTATCTTTTCTTATGAGTTTGCAGCCTTCAACAGGACCAGTACTTGCAAAAACCTCTTGTAGAAGTGGTTCAGTCACTTGTGTATGAATATTCCCTACATACCTGCATTTTCTCGAAAATTAACAAACTAGAAGTTTACAAAGGGAAAGAAAAAAACAGAATTTTAGCTGCACAATCTAACCAAGTGATGCATATATGACAAGATACGTACCATACAGTTTATAGTATGAATCCTAACTAATACTACAAAACCAGTTAGCAAAGTTCATAGATATACGAGGTTAGGAAAACACACTCTGGAATAAAAGATTGCACCAAGAATTTTGCAGTGTTCTAAAAGGCGTTACCCAGATGCTTAGGCCGACACACCAGTTATTTTTAGAATATGTAAACACAGGAAGACCAAAAAAATTGATTTCAACCCTGTTTTTTAATTAATTTACATAAGAGTAGAGAAATTATTGTAAAGATGCCCAATTTGACTCGGGAGATAGAATCGGACTTGATTTGGGCCAAAATGTTTTCTAATTTGGCTAATAATTAGCAGGTTGCTCAAGTTATCAGTCCGAATAATTGGATAAACCCAACTAATCACCACCCAGTCCAATTAGTTTTGCTTGATATTTTTAAAACCTTCAATCTAGCAATTAGTTGGCAATCAAAGCGGTGGGGTGCTTAACCGCTAAGAGACCAATTAAGTCGGCCTAAACGGGGATCTTTAGAAAACTGAGCTTTCATGATGCTCAACCATGCAAATGAAAAGAAAATAAAAAGCCATCTGTAAACCACTCACACGCTGCGGCATGTGTTTGGATCAAACCCAGGAGGCAAATTTCCACTTGGTATTGGTTCAATCTGCAAAATGAAAAGGTGAAAATGGAAATAGAACCCCAAAAAAATAGCTAAGCTAAGAGCAAAAAAGCATAAGAAACCACACTAATTTCACTAGTTAAGGCCTGAAGAATGAGTAAAAAAAAACTGTACTATTAACAAATTATTCGACCATAAAAAACAGCCACAAAAGACAATTAGTGTCCAGACCATCCTACAAGACAAATAGAAAAAAATTAATGCAAAGTTACAAGAATATAATTTACTAAACTTCACAATTACATCCAATTACTAGCCTGAGGTATCAATTATGTTATAAACTCAGACAATGACACTAACAGCAAATTCATCAAAAATAGAAACAACGTCAATCGGTTATATTTAATGTGTGTACTTCCGTTAACTAGATCAAAGACTCAATGTAAGTGGGAACTAGTTCCACACCAAACAATTCCCCTATAGGACATCCCAGATCAAAGTGTTCAAGGCTTCTAAGTGGCAACAGAACTTCTAGAGGTGAGAAGATAGAACAAGCTGGATTATCTATAAAAATGAGAAATCGTAAAGAAAGATTAACGTACAAAAACATGTAACCACATAACACTATCTTTTAGTCTATACATGTAATCTTTTCATAAAAACTCATATGACAATTTTGTTGGTGCTGTTAATGGAACAAAAGGCAACTACCAACAAGAAAACAAATTGTGTGGATAGCACTGTTTGTTCAGATTCTCTTCTACGAGTGGGTAGGAATGTCATCCTAACCTTCTGCCAAACAACAAAAGGCTATAAAAGAAACAAATCTAAATGTAGTAACGCATAGTATCACGAATGTGGCATTACCTCAATTTCCTATAAAACAAACATTAAACTTTGAAACTGGTGAGTAAATAAGGAAAAACAATTAGGCAGCTCCTATCATCATGCAAATGCTAAATCTCAATAATGGGAGTGCCACAAAATGCAATCCCCTTACAGTTCATCCACTAATACACATATCACAAGGGTCAAAACAGGTACCAACTTGCTACGCTCGTATATTGTATACCTTGTAATTTGGTGGGACAACATTCCGTTCAGTAAATCATAGAAGTTCTGCCATTCTGTAGAACTTAATTTCTAGTTTCAAAGGGAGTTTTTTAATCACACAGAACTCCCAATGATCACTGAGATTTTTTCCACCTGGATTTTACTGAATGCCAACGCACTCATGATTCTCTATGTCCTTCCATTCAAATAAGGAAATATATTCTTCCTATTTGAATATGCCCGCTGCATTTTCAACTTCCCAATGACCATCCTTAAATAATACCCTATTTGAATTTTCCCGCTGCATTTTCAACTTCTCAATAAACATCCTTAAATTTGCGACTGTGGTCCAGTTCTTTTCCAGCTCAATCTAATACCTTTAGATTCCAAAAGGCTTTTCTAACCCTCCAATTTTACAATGAAATGTTGCCAAGTCTCGCCAACCAACACCACATTGAAATACTCCTTTGTGCAGAGGTTGGAGTAAATTGAAGTCGTGCAAAAACATCCAAATCCTTTTATTTTCGCAAAGTTTCGGATGTTTTTGAACATGATCGTCAAAAAAATAGTTAAGAAGATTCAAAATGCATATTGTACCAGCCAACAGAAAAAACAATCCTAACTCGATCAAATCAAAACGAAACTAACAAAAAGTTCCATCATCAATCGACAATCAATCAAGAGAATCAAGTGTACATGTGGAGAGAAATTACAAAATCAGAAAAATGGGGCGTGCGAACCTGGGGTGGAGCCAGGAGGCCAGGATGATAAAGAGATTGTTGTTGAAGAAGAGCTTGCTGCATCAATGCTTGCTGTTGTTGCTGCTTCAGTCTCTGATGTTGCATTCTTGAAGAATATAAATCTACTCTCCTTCAGGATCTCGAGTAAATTGAGTGATTTTGGGGGTTAGGGTTTCGATACTCCGCGTGGGAGAAAGGGGATGAGCAATTGAAACCCTCGAACAAATAAAATGTCCTGATGAACGAAATGGAATTTCAAAATCAACCCTCCAACCTAAGTTTATCTTAACGTTTCACCCCCTCCTACTTGTCCTTTATTGTAAATTACATATAATTCAATTATTTTCACTTATTTAATTATCATTCTCGTATCAACCTGATGATATAACAAAACAATAATCGTATTCATTTTCTAAAATTGATTTTAGTCGTTATATATATATATATATATATATATATATATATATATATATATATATCATACACTTTTTTTAACTAAAAATTATTGTATTTTTCAAAGTTTTCAACTGTCATATTTATTTTATATATCGGTCAAAATAAATATCGATCGTATCAATGACGATCTTTTTTTTCTTTGCTTACACAACACTGTTTGTTAAAACAGACATCGATTTTCTATACTTTAAAAAAAATGATTTAATTTTATACAATTTATTAATATAAAGAAAATGATCGTATATACCCAAATTTGAGATATGATCTATGTTATTTAAACCCAGAGAAATTATTTATACAATTTAAATAATATAAAAAAAATGCTTGTGTTGATCAAAAGCTTTAATTTTTCCCTACAAATAAATTGTTTTTATAATAAAACATTAAAAAATATACTAATTAATTCATCAATAAAAGGAGACTTAAATTCCACGAGGTAAGGAAAACAAAAATACTCGCACTAGAAACTAATATATTGAATTTACATCGAAGTCCTCAATAAATGGATATGTTACATTTTTAGTCCAAATACAACATGGTATGAAGTCAAACTCTCTTTCACACTAGGAATTCAAGCTTCGGAAAATTACCGGTGGCTAATGGTTTATAGGTTGAGGTCAAAACTATGCTCGTTGCCGGAGGATGAACCACCCGGCGACAGATTGTGCACTTGATACGGCGCTCTCACGGCGGCTCTGTCTTTTCTCTTCGCCAGAAACTTGTGCAGTGATGCTCTTCTCGCAATCGGCAAATCTGAACCCTTCGTTTGTAGCTCTGCATGAATCGGTTCTTGTGAGCCGGGAACATCAGCCGGAGATTCCGAAGTTGAGGCCAATTCAACTCGTTTCTCGTTTTTGCGATCAGGAGCACCGTTCTGAGCCGCTAACATCAGATCTCTCGCTCTATCCGCCGGAACATCATCTAAAACCAGTACTTGTCCTCCGTAAAAAATCGTCATCTGTGCGGTTTTAGGCTCCGTAACTGATTTACTGGAACTAGCTTTGTTCGTAGAAGTTTCTAGTAGTTTAGAGGAATCTAGGTTAACATACTGAGGAAGAAGAACATTCACCGATTTCTCCGCTTGTGATGAGGCCTTTTGACCAGGATACTCGATGTGACTCAATAAATCAACAGTCATAGTCTCCGCCGGAGTTATCACCGGAGAAATTTCCGATGTCCCTGTACCAACACAAAAAATCAGCTCAGACTTAAGTAATTTCACAGATCTTAGCGAAGGTCGATCTAACGACAAACAAAACAAAACAAGAGAAAACGACATAAACCTATACCTGGAGCATCAAATTTGGCATTGATTCCGAGACTTAGATCTCGGAGATTTCCTTTTTCCTTCAAGAATAGACTCAATCTGTTACAAGTCTGAGCAAACTTGGACTTCTCGACAGGAGGTTTGCCGTTGCCGGTGCCGGTGCCGGTGCCGGTGCCGGTGACGGTGCCGGAGTGTTTGGGTGTGGACGACATGTGTGAATGTAATGGTGGATGAAGAAGGATAGGGGAAGCGAGGAGGGTTTGCGTTTTATATTGAAAGTCGTTCACAAGTGTCGTGGTAGGGACAGCCATCCTTTAAAAATTGACCAGAGTTTCTCGTGTTTTATTTAAGCACGTGTTAATTGATTTTGGAGAAAAGTGTGCTCCATCTGTCCGCCAGTAGACTCAGCCTCCGCTTCGACTTATTCAAATCTTACCGATCTTGGCCCCACATGAATTACACCATTTACATTTTTTACTAATTAATATATATTATTAATTTCAATTTAGAAAAACACCGTCTGTAATTATTTATTAAAAGCATATTTAAATAAACAGGATTTAAGTGAATAATCAAAGTTCTCCGCGAGTGTTTTTACGTATTCTTTATAATTTTTCTTAAAATAAATAATTAAAATTCAAAATTTTAAAAAAATTAATTAACTTGAATATCCAATTCGTTATGCGAGTTGATTGATCCCAAAATGACTATCCATTTTGCGGGTTATCTGAAGTCACCGCATTTGAACCTCCATGACCACAAAGGGGTTTTATTTCTTCTTGTATTCGAACTTGGGACCTTCATGTACTTTTCACCTTTTGAACTCAAGCTCAAACCAATCGAACACCACTCTTATAATTAATTTTTAAAAATAATACATTCAACTCTAATTGGTTCATTGAAGATAGTTCTTATAAGTCACCCAATTTTTTTAATTCTTGTACAAGGATTTTGTTTTTTTACCTTGACATTCGTGTGAAATGACATTTTGTTGGTTTTTTATATATATTCTTTTGATATTTATATATGTATTGTTGATGTTGAATTATGATAAATAATTTGGAAAAAAAAGGTTTTACTAGTGAGACGAAGAATCATGTGAGAATAGAAGTTAAGTTGAAAAACGTAAGAAAGTATATAAACCCTTGATCATTTTTAATCTCACTCTACCTCATGAATTGCATTTATCATAGAAATTGATCCCAGATGCACTGCATCACTATTGATCTTCAATTATTATTGATTCAATGGTGAAAATTCTTTCTCATCAGAACCCAACCTTTACAATTTTAGAGTTTTATGGTAACTTTTAATTTGTTACGTGGCAATTATGTAAAAAAAATGCAAAAATGAGGTTTTTAGAGCATGTACAACATATTCTATAGATAAAATGAAGCTTTTGTACTTTATTTTGATACAACAGTTTCTCTATATTATTTCCAGGGCCGGCCCTGGCCACGTGCAGCCCGTGCGGCCGCACAGGGCATCAAAGCCTAAAGGGGCATCAAGTTGTCATTTTTTTACTAGTTTTGAGTTCAATAATTTGGGAATTGGACAACTGAGCTTTAACAATAAAAACAGACCCAAGGCCTAGTAGTGATGAATATTGAATACACATCGTAGGAAAAAGTTGGAAAGTTGGAAAAGTTTTTGTTTGTATAAAGTTGTCTGTATTAATTAATTTGTTTGTATAAGTTTGAATTTTTTTTGTTTGGGAGAGTTTTTTCACAGATGTAAGGAGTTTTTTTTAGTTGGAAGGGACATGTTTGGAAAAAAAAAACTCGGTTTTCTATATAAAGCTCCCCCTAGAAGCTTACTAGATAAGTCACTTTCTATATCATTAAGCCACTACGAAACAGTCATGCATAGTTGAGCGAATAAGTTGTTAGTTTCATTAAACTTATTAAGCTGCTAACAGATAAGCCCTTAGCCTTTAGTCGTTAGACCTGTAACTTTTGAGTTTTACTTTTTGCTTACTATGACAGTAATTTGGATGTGATTTACTATTTTAGTTAAAAACTAATTATAGTTTTCCTTGTCTTTTAAGTCCCATATATTGAAATAAAGTTTCTATGTTGCTAATTTCAATTTGGAAAAGGGGAAACCGGAAAAGAATGAAGCATGATCTTAATTCAAAATTTATCATTTTCTATTTTGTATTCATGGTTTTGGTTTTATTAATAAAAATCAACATGATGATGAAATACTTAGCTTGAATAGGTTATAAACTTTTTAAAAATTTGTAAGTTTCGTTGTTTCATTGACTTAAAAAAATAGACTTAGGGGCATTGATTATTATTTTCGCACAAGGCATCAAAAATCCTAGGACCGGCCCTGATTATTTCTCTATACCGTGGTAAGAGTCGTTGCTCTCACTTGTCGCGTAAGACTCTTGATGATTGTCACGCTCTTACCGGGTAAGATTCTTGATCTTTACCATGTTCATCCGGTAAGGTAACATGACTTGATGTTTATTAATCCGAGTAAACGTTTGGTAAACGGTCCTTTAAAGATTTTGACTTTTTCTTTCTCTGTTTTAGATAAGTTATATATAATTTGTTGGAGAGAGTTTTAGATTTCAAATTTTGGTTATTTTCTAATCAATGATTCGTCACGTCTATATACATAAATGTGTTAAACAATGGTTGTTGAGGTTGTAATTAAATCGAGGAATGTGGGTTGTGTTTCATGTACTACATTGTCTATTAAACAAATATATATATATATATATATATATATGATGAACGATCAAATGCAAACCATCTATATTTGTATGAACTGTACAAATCATCCCTATATGTCGATTTTATTATTTAATTTAATGAATTTGTTTCATGGAATTGTTTAATTTTATAAAATTGTTTTATATAATACTTTTTTTAGATGAAGTTGTTTTATATATGGTTATGAAATTGTTTCATATAATACTTATGAAAATTTAATGAAATTGTTTTATGTATTTCTTTAAATTAATATAGTGAAGATGATAATATTCATGATTAACATCATCCACAATAAAAATGATTAATTAACCTCTCATAATTACGAAAAAAATGAAAAAAAATAAAAATTATGATTGGTTGAACGAAGTTTTCACGGTTTGTACAAATAACATGGTTTGCAAAGTAAACATCACCTATAATATATATTTGTATATGTATATTTATAAGCCTAATTAAATTAGAACTAGATAGTTGTTGTAACTGTGAGGTAAAATATGAGCCAATCATTTTAGATAATTAATGTTATAAACTACAATAAAACAAATGTAAATTAGTAAATTGTGTTGATTATTCAATTACTTTAATTAGTTTAATTATTTTAACATATGTATATATACACACACAAGGACCAAATCCGGTCGCATTCTTCGGCATCCACCACCACTCCGATGACCTCCTCCGGTCATCTTGTTTGAACAAGACGCCGTCTCCGATGATCAACCATTAAACACCCACATGTGAGCATTCCCGACAGCTAGCTCCATATTTGTCTCTGTGATCCCCGCACTACTTATCTCCCTTCCCTCATCCCCGTCACACTTGGTATCACGTGGTCTCAAAGTTTACTTGGTGTGTTTTGGATATCACATTGTATGTATTTTGGGTATCATACTATGTATCTTGGTGTATTTTGGGTATCACATGGTGTTTGTCAGAGGCCGGAGGTAGGAGAGAGAGAAAGAGTATAGATGAAAATTTTAAACATCTAAAATGCCCTTTACCTTTAATTTTAAGTCAGATTACCAAAAACATTAGTTTCATAATTTATCCATTAATTTATAATTGAAATTGGATTTTATAATTATCACAAACTAATCAGTTCTTATTTAAATATATATATATATATATATATATATATTGTATATATGCATGTGTGTGTATATATATATATATATTGAAAGAGGATTAGCAGGTAATTATATAAAAATATGGTAGTAGTTATGACTGGATGGTCACTGTCGACTAAAATAATTCATCAACTTGCATCACGTAGCAAAACAGGAAGGGACTGCTGCTTTGACCATACAAGACACATTCATAGAATGCCCAAACCAATTATTCACACTTTTTCTCTAAAATATACAACCAAAATATTTAAAATTAAATATTTTATTTCAATATTAATTATATTGTTAAAATATTCAATAATATAATAAAATTATTTTATCTCGTTTCTTCTTTATATTTCATTGGTTGGTTTCAAATGTTGAGGGCCCGTTTACCAAATACTTATCCGACAAGTGTTTACTAATAAAATTCAACACTATTATTTACATACCGGATAAGATGCTAGTCCACCAAAACGACTTCGCATGTAACAATGTACCCAATAAGCGTTTACCGTGTTAAGAGTCGTCGCCCTCACTTACCAATTAAGACTATTGGTACTTGTCTCGCTCTCACAAGATAAGATTGTTGGTCCTTACCATATTCATCCGGTGAGATAATGTGACTTGGTAAGCGCTTACCCGAGTAAGCGTTTGGTAAACAACCCCTTAAATTTTTTCCAAATTTGGTGAAAATTCAACATCATTCGTATTTTTACAATTTTAAAGGAATTTTTTAAGAAACTTCAAAAATCTCCAAAATCTTTAGTTTTCTTGATTTTATAGAAACCGTGGAAAACACTCTTAACAATCCTCTAAATTATAATGCAAAAATAACTTTCATTTTGTTATGAATCTTAAAACACATTAAGAACGGAAAAAGTAAAGTTTTTTAAACAAAAAGTTATATTTGGGAACGTATAAGCAATGAATATACTGTGTTCTTGGTTTCATTATAACATCTGTAATGGAAGTTCCTATAAAAGCTTATTTTTTGTATTTTTTTTTATTGTGGCATTATTTTTAACTTATCAAATTAAGAACATTTTTATGGGTCTTATGTATTTTTTTAACATCAATAATTATATTCTATTTATAAATAAATATCAAATATCAAATATTAAATTTAAAATATATAGAAAAAACTTGCAAATTATCATTTCACATCAACATCAAGGTAATAACTAAAGTTTTTGTGCAAAAACTTAAGAGCATCTTGAACAATTATGATAAAATGGAGAATAAAGATGAGTTTTAGCAATTTGTTTTATTATAACAATTATGAATTATTTCAACTTACACAACGGGTACTGATGCTAAAATAAAGAAAAGAATGGAGAGATTGAAAAAATCTTTAAGGGGGTGTTTGTTTAAAGATATTAAACAGCAATTGATGAGAATGAAAATACAAGAGACTGTTTGGTTTTCTATAATATAATGGACTAATTCCCCTAGAAATCTAAAATTTAATTTCTGGTTAAAATAGAGGAAATGAAAATTCATTTCTCAGTATGAACCAAACAGACCCTAAATTTAGAGGAATCTCTAAATAGAGAGATAAATAATACTTAAATACTTCTTACCAATAACATATATTGAAAATAAAAGTTTAGGAGAAAGAAAAAATATTTTATTAAATATAGTAAATATTTAATGATATAATTAATGTAAGAATTTATAAAATAGAGTGGCTGTTAAAGTTGATCATAAATTTTTTAGAAATTTTGACTTTTAATATATTATATTTAAAAGAAAATATAGCATAGCTGATACAGATAAGTTAAAGAGGACTATTAGAAAACTCGCGTAATGCAGCGAGACACATCTTAATTTTAATGTTCTATTTTATTCTTTGTCTCTATCGATGTTATAATAC